GATGTGGAAATGAAAAAGACAAAATGTCGCGAGTAAATAATTGGCAACTCATATAGAAGATTATACACTTGGCCAATAATTGTCTTTTTAAAATTAACCGTACTTAGATATAATCCAGAGGATTGAAATATAGATATTCTTGACGTAGTGTTTTGCACTTTTAAGTTTAGTGAAATTCATTTCGATATTAGACTTGATAGTATATATTTTAGTCAAGTAGACGGCAAGGCTATCTGTTTCAAAGCGAACGTCTGCGGCAAAACAGGATAAAAAATATTTTTTAAACAAAAACATTTGTCGTTTTTTTTGGATTGTTTTGTGTTCTGTTATGGGACTTCAGTATTGTGACTTTGTTTCAAAGCTTTTCCCCCCCGCCTGTTCGACGCCTTAGAAGACAGCTTGGGAAACAAAGCGCAGGGAACTGAAGAAAGGGCGGGAAATATTTTAAAATTAACGCGTGATTATCGCAAAGTGAGTCTAGCGAGTCGATGTATGGATGGATGAATGGGAGGGAAGGATAACTGGACGGACCGACCGGGGATAGATGGATGCATGCATGCTTGGATGAGCAGTGGTTGGAGAATGGATGGGATGAATGGATGGGATGGATGAATGGATGGATGGATGGATTAACGGATGAATGAGTATCTGACTCGCTTTGTTGTATATTCTTAGGGGCGTTTAAACTGTATGATTTGGATGACGATGGTTACATCACCAAAGAAGAAATGCTACACATTGTCGACTCTATCTACAAAATGGTGGTAAGTGGCTGAAACATCGGGTTAACGTTGGAAAGCGTGTACACACGAGTAGCTTAGCGTTGCGTTTCAATAAGAGACCATCAAGGTCCTTCGTGGTCTCTTGGTTTCACTCTGGATCTACGATGTACAGTTACAAATATAAAGTACTGTCGCAAACAATATCTTGCCTTGAATTGGCTTCCCGGCAGCCCCTCGTTAATTTTGCGTTCGTCACATTATAATATGGGAAGCCATTTCCATGCTAGGACTAAAATAAAATTCCACGCTCCGTGATTGGTCTCCCCTCCATGATTGGCCTACCCTCATGGTTGAAATTTATGGGCACAAGAATGCACTCTCAGGTATGTCTTGACAGATTTTCCTTCTTCCATATCTTGTTTTATACGTCGGGCTCGCTGAAACACAAGGAAGCCACATCAGTGCCACAATATGTCCGTGCAACACGTTGCTATAAAATGGTTTTCCATGCATTTTAATGTAGCTATTCGCCGCATCTCTTTAATTAAAATCAAAAAATTAAATTCCAGATTACAAATGGCAGATTAATTCATACTCTTTTTGCTCTTTGTGCTTCCTGTGGTTCTTTCCAAAGAAAAACTAAATCACAGGGATCCCAAGAGTATATTTATCCGAGTTAAAAATACAATCCTTGTGTACTTCTTGTATTTCACCGTTCTTGCTATTGATTCCCTATTTTGAACAAATGGAAAAACGTTTAACTAATTGGCTATCACATCTCTTCGACTCTGTTTATTTTACGTTAATTAATTTGGTGGGAATTTGTGTATTTGCAATTAAGCGAAAAATTGGGAAGTTTACCTATGGGCTATTCTAATCTTAATCCCAATAATTTGAGAAAATAAACTGATCGTTTTCGTGCCAGTTGTCGGGTTTGAATGCCAAAAATAGACTCTTTGAGCCGAAATTAATACGTTTTTGATTATGTTTGATATCACATTTGATCACGTTTTTGTCCTTCGGTAAACTTTCCGATAAAAGGCGTCGTATATCTTACTTTTCTCGTGTTTCAAAGTATTTTTTTATTATCCCTCAAAGAAAATTTTAGAATCCTATTTTTATATAATTTTCTCCGGTCCTCCTCGTTTGTTTGTTTGTTTTTTTTGTTTTTTTTGTTTTTTTGTTTTTTTCTTGTTTTTTCTTTTGTTTTTTTTTTGTTCGTTTTGTTTTTGTTTTGTTTTTGGTTTTTGTTTTTTGTTTGCTCCTAAGATTCTACGTCTTATTTATATTATCTTATTAATATAAAGATAAATGTTCGAAGGAACATTTGTGGCTAAAAAAGGTAATGTAACAAGAGGATTACATGTCCGAAATAATAGATCATTAAGCTCAGCTTATTCATAGGTCTAGCTGCCGACCCAAGGCGATTGAATAAAGGGTGGGAGTGGCCGGTTTGGAGCTGGGGAGGGGTGGGTGGGGCAGGGTTAGAGGGACAGGCAGTGACATGATGCTCTTTGTTCTTGCCCTATCGTCGTTCAGAATACTATAATTACTTCATCGCAAAAAAGATTATGCGTGTGATGTCACTCTAAGACCTATAAGACTCTAAGGCGTGACGTATTTCCGGGTCCAAAATGCTTATAAAAATGGCTAAAATGAAGCAAAAAATTGGATCCAAATGTTATCATCTTTTACAACTCACAGAACGTAAAACAAATTTTAATGTGAAATGAATGATGGGAAATATCTTCACATAATTGAACGTGTTTTGGACCGGAAGTACTTTTTCATACAAATGACATTACACATAAAAGCTTTATGAATAAATTGTCCTAGTTTTATGAGGGTAGCACTTAACAGCCAGTGGCTAACAAACCCGTGGCCCTCATTCCATGATCAAATTGGAAATTAGATGTTACTTTTATCAGAATTTTTTGCGCGTGCAATGGCGTGTCCCAGTGCATTTTGGCCATTCCGGGGGTGGGCGGGGTGTCAAGTCGAGATTGTAGTACATTGTAGGACTGATTAGGGGACGAAATGGACGCAATCTTGAAAATAAGTCTCCTAAAGCAGTACCACAATGCACTATAATCCCAACTTGAAACAGTTTTCCCTCAACCTCGTAATGGCTAATGGATTGTTTACACTGAAGATGCTTCCTTGAATGTGGTTTTGCTGCAGGCTAGTTTAGTCAAGTTACCAGAAGATGAAGACACACCAGAGAAAAGAGTGAATAGAATATTCACACAAATGGACAAGGTTAGCTAATACGTGTTGATTCAATGGACTACTTCAACGATACGGTGGCCATCTTGGATGACAAGGTATCATGGGGCGTCAAGGCGACAAATAAACCTTTGTTACAGTTATGACGTCGATTAATATTAACAGCTCACCACAAGAGAATACAACAAAAGATGAATTAACTAAGACGGCACATCGATCACCTTTACCCATAAAAGAAGGACAAACACACGATATTCTATATATTTTCCGTCATCTTTGTTTCGTTTTGCCCCCTGGCAAGATGGCCGCCGTATCGTTGAAGTAGTCCATTTGTCATGCATTTTACTCATGATTAAAGTACAGTAATAAGGGGGGAAAAACGTGTAAGGTGTAAATAACATCGATGTGTATACGATGCATATCGAATATAGGTGCGGACAGACGGTGAAAAATTGCGCGCAATATTGCACGCAAACAGGACTAGTACAACAGGACTAATGGAGGGTACGTTTGTACATCCCTGAAACTTCAGTTCCTGCGCGCAACTCCTCACGCGCAACAAGATGGAAGTTTGCGTGTTTTGACGCAAAAGTTATTCCACAGGAACCCCATCAGCATAAAAATGGGCTTTCCTATTATTCCGCTCGGGGGGTACTACCACCCCAACTTGGGTAGGGGTGTGCCGCCAGGACCTCAAAACCCTGACCCTATCCCAGACCTAAAATTTTGATTTTACATACCCTATCCCAGACTAAACCCGGTTAGTCAATAGATTGCAATCAATATTTACTCACGTTTTTATTGTTTTTGTGCCGGCAGAAAGCGTAGCCTATTCGCCAGACAAAAACGACCAAATCGTTAACCCTATCCCAGACAAAAATGATACCCTATCGCAGACAAAATGTCATAAAATAGGGCGGCACATAACCCGTATAGCAAATATAGGGGAGTGCCCCCCCCCCCCCCCCCCCCCCCCCCCCCCCCCTCTAACAGAACTCACCTCATTTCATTCCTATTATTCNACAAAATGTCATAAAATAGGGCGGCACATAACCCCCATAAAAAAAAAAGGGGGGGGCCCCCCCCCCCCCCCCCCGGGTTATTCCGACAATATAACAGAACTCACCTCATTTCATTCCTATTATTCAGAACGACGATGGCAAGTTATCAATGGAGGAATTTAGAGAAGGATCGAAAGCCGATCCCTCAATCATCCAAGCCTTGTCTCTGTACGATGGGTTAGTCTAAGCAACTATATTCTAAGCTAGTTTTATTTATCTGGATTATTTCTGGCCGAAATACCAGCAGTGTAAACATTTGTGGAAGATATCATTACTCGAACATGAAGTACTTTTGGCTATGCTATTCTGAATAATAATTTATTTGCTCGAGAAAACTTCAACAGGACGTGAGTCCGACTGAGGAAGCTGCCCCTGGAATGAATTGATTTGGAGAATTTAGCCGTATAGTTTTGAAAAGAATTAAAGGATGGATCAACTGTTATGTAAAAGATAAAGCTTATTGGAAAACTTCTGTGGAGGAACTTAAAAGAAAATAACATTAATTGCCATTTGCGGAGAAGATTTACGCGTTAATTAATCAATCCAAGATGGAGGATCCAAAACTTCGGTTGACACGTGATTTTTTTTCAACATACTGGAAAAATCGTTTATGACGTTAAGGTCTTGAAAGAGAGGATTAATTTTCAATGAAAATGTCTCGAAGAAAGATTATGTCAAAGAAAAATTTGTTAATTTGGAAAAATAGTGTCCCGTGAAGATGAGCGAAAAAAATAACAGATCCAAGATGGCGGACCTGTTGCTATATCTATTTAACCACGCTATTAGAAGGCGCTCGACGAATGCTTTTAGATCTAGGTTGGAGAAGTGATGTTATTTATTGCTTTCAATGAAATCTTTCCCGGTCTCGAGTGGAAATTTTGGCAGCTGAACATATGGCAGGCGCGGCCATCGCGATTAAGTTGGTTTTGGTGGATGTCAATCAAAGAGTTACCTAGAAATTTGTGGGCTCAATTGTGTGCGCGCGCACGTCACCAGTCTCAAATCGGCAGTTGCCATGACCACAAAACTAATATAGGTACCTTCTATACTGTCATGGAAACACCTTGATTGACGTTCATCAAATCCAACCAGCGCATGTTATGGGGGAAAAAATTTGATTCTGCCCTGAATGTCATCAAAATCGACGTCATCAGAATTGCCCAATGCAACCCCTCCCATTAAGAATGAGCCTTTATTTATACAGGGTAGCCCTTTCAGTTACATAAAATAACTGTTATCAATAGGAGCCCTGATAAGCCCTCTGATTCTTTGAGGAAAATTCATGTGGTTGGATTGATGCGCATCATATTTGAAAAAGTTATCAATGCTTATTTGAATTAAAATATATATAATAAAAAAAGTATATGGTTGCGTAAGCCTTGTGCTTTCGCAGGTCACACTCCTTCTGAGAATGAGTATGATGTTCAACGTGTTTGATTTTGTTGTCATTTTACTGATTTTGTTGTGCGTGCTTGTGCACCACAGTCAATATTACGAAATTATTATTTTATAAGATGTGGTTGTTGTCCCTTCTTGTGAAAGAGTGTCATCCATAGTAAAAGCCCCTAAAGGCCCTGTTACACGTGAAATTTTTTAGCTGAAACTTGCTTGCAACGGCGTTGCGAGACAAGTTTCATGGGGGTGTTAAAACGGCACAATTTTGGCTTTGTGAAACTTTCGTCGCGAGAAAGTTTCACGCAAAGTAAAACTGCTTTCTACTCATGCAACCGAAACTTGTGTTGTGAACAAGTTTCAGAATGAAATTGCCCGTGAAACTTGTCTCACAATGCCGTTGCACACTAGTTTCAGCTAAAATTTTCAACGTGTAACAGGGCCTTAAGAATGGCTTCTTTCCTAGATTTGCACCATTGAAACTGCCCCCCCCCCCCCCCCCCCCCCACCTGCCCCAACAGCCTAATTATGTTAAACACAATAAACCTTTTATTTTCAATGATTATTTACAACCTTAATCATCATCTGAGCCGCAATTGAAGCTTTTTCTG